TTTCTTCCAAGATGCCCAGAAGACAGTATGCTTCTATATATTATAAAGTAGTTTAATTGCAAATAACTCTTAAAACCACTGAGTTAATCCACTAATATATGAAGTTCTATATATGGTTTCTGTTTCAGATGCTGCTCTACATCACAAGACAGTTTAAGCATGTGCTACTTGCATCTGTCTTTATCCTTAAACTTGATTAAGTTGCATCCTGAAAGAGCAGATAAGTCAAGTAGCAGCTATGAATGACCAGTCTTGCAGTGTGACTGTTAAATATTTAGATTAGGTTCCATGGTGTACTTGAGCATATGTGCAAGCTCCTCAGGACAGCAGTAGGCCTCGTGGGTTAAAAAATAAGCAGATTGTAGTCTCTTTAGACTGGGGTTTGAAACAGCAGCTTGGTGATTAGTTGTATCAGTAACATTCTCCATAAATGGAAAGGTAACATGTTTAATGGTGGTTAGAAACATTAATAGCAGGATCCATAAAGAAATATCACTAGATAAATAAGCACATATAGCAAGCTTTCCAAATGATGTTGATGGACAATAGGAATAGCTTTCTAGCCAAAAGGAGAGAGTGCTGATAACACTCCATGCTCTCATGTGAATGTTGGAGGGTGTGATAGGATAGGGCAAAACAAGGCTAGTAAAAACCTCAGGAATTCCTGGACCAAAGAGTAATTATCCAAAAGAGAAAGCAGAACTACTTTCTTGCTCTTGTCCTTGTCTTTGCCAGGGTCTGCAGGCAGGTCATCTCTGTAGCATGTGCAGTATTGAGTATCACTTTACCTTGAGAGACTCACCAATAATACAGATCAAAAATGTCAGTATTTAAGAATATAAGGAGAATTTAAGAGGAGTATATAGGAATAGATAATTGTTCCAAATTAGGATCTTCTGAATTAGGTCATCTGAGATGATTATCAGTATAATGCTACCGTTACAGTAAAATAATGAAGAAATCTGGAGTATACACAGTTATGCTTGTTTAAAGAAAAGTAGCATAGATTTTGCCCAACAGACATGCACTGATGTAAGTACAGTTATGTCACGATAACCTTGTTCCCAGGCGGCCATAAGACTAGTCAAAGACCATACTTGAGAAATCTGTAGATCTGAATTCTAGTTATTCTGTTATTGATTCCTTATGTTCCTGGTAGTAAGAGAACCTCTGTTAGCCACAGTTTCTGCAGCTGCAAAGTGGATTGTTTACATTTTGTTTGTCATATGTGATTAATTAATTTCTGTGAAGCATTTTGTGTATCACAAATAGATGTTGTTGCCTATAGGCAGTGACTATTTTGGCAGTACTGCAGAGTGGTATTGCTGCAGAAAAAGACTTTTTTGTTTTGTTTTGTTTTCCCCTACTGTCTTAGTGTTGTGAACACGAACTGCAGTGTGCCTTTTTACAGAGGGAGACTGCACTTTAGTCTCTTCTTCTTCCCTGTCCCCTTCCAATACACACAGGCCCCTTGTAGTTGATTAATAGTGTAAAGGTTAAGCAGGGCTATGGTTCTGCCTGTTGCTTGCTTTTTTGGGGGGAACAGTCTGCATCCACAAAGCTACCTCTGAAAGGAGGAGGCTGCTGCTCTATAGTTTCATTTACTGCGATCAGAACACAAGGTCAGCAGTGATCTAGCTATTCTTTTAAAATACTAATTATTTTTTTTTTTAAGACGAATCAAGTTTCTTTCTAAAAATAGAGGGCTGGATCTGATAAAATGAAAAAAAACTGGGAATCTGAGGATCTGGTGTTCAGGCATATAACTAAATCACACTGCTTGCATTATTCTTAACCTGGCACACTCCACCCCCCTTCTACCTGACACATTAGTTTTGGACTTGGGAATAAGATCCTTTATACTGATGCTTCCAACTGACAAGTTTTATTTTGACAATGCTTTGTTATCCATGGTATCCTTGAAATAAATCCAAATTACTTGTTCACCATTAAGTTGATGGACAAAAGCCTATATTCAGACTTGCTATGGGTAAAAAGTTGAAGGTGGTGTCATTGTGTCCTGTCTTAACAGAAGGAACCCATTAACAATTTCTTTCTAATCTCACAATCCATAACACTTTCCAGTTTCCTGTTCTATAACCATCTAGCATAAAGTCTGTACTTCGTTGCTGTAATATTTCAATCTGATTCCTTATGCTTAGAATGGGTTAACCCATCTGTGTTCAATTTTATCATATAAATTGATTTAAGTCAATTAAAAAAGGAAGTGAAAATAAAAAGTGGGATCATGATGGTTTATTGGGAGACCTGGCTAAATCCAGAAAATCACTGAATGGCAACTTGCAGCTCATTCAAATAATTGAGTACGTCCTATGTGCTTCTCAAAAGTGTGTTCCTTATTCCATAGAGTTTTAACCTAGACTGATTTAAAATAGTAAGAACAACCCAAGGCAAATCTTTACAAAAAGAGATGGATGATACCTATAGTGACTCAAACTTGATTCCATGTGTAGATATACAGTTTTAGAAAATGTGTATTTCACAGAGCAATGGTAGGCTGTAAACTGATGAACAGATCATATAAATAATATAGCTGAGATGGAACGGAACTTGCATGAGAGAACATAAATCTGCTCCATTTAGCAGATCTATGTGTGTTTGTAACAGTACAACTTTTAATTTACTGTGGCGTTATGAGAAACTGGGTTTAAATAAATTGAGTACTGAATTTGCAGCTATTTATAATACTGTCAATTATCTCTGATAAGAAGCATAGATTAGGCATTGGATAAAAGGTGTATGTGGCTGGCTATGAAATCAAGATTCTTCTACAGAGAAGAATTAAACTTTATTTAAAATGAATGGAAATGTTCCAGATTCCAAAGGTAGCTTCATTATTTCTTGATGTTTTGTAGGCTGAGACAGTAAACAAGCCTTCTAGATTGTTTATACATTGTTGGTTTGAAGTCTTTTCAATAAGAAGAATGTCCAAGTCAACGGAGTGAAGTTTGTATAAGAGGGCACTTAAAAAGCTATGGTTGTGTGGGCAGAGGAGGTAGGCAGTCACACTTCAAATCTTGTTCCAACAAATGGTTACGAACATTCAATGTAATAGCTGAATGGTTAACAAGTGTTTCTACATCTAGAAAGATGCCTTTGATATTGAAAAGTGTCCCAGGATGGTTTCTTCCTCTAGTAATAACATGTGAAAGCAAGGAAGCCTTGGCTGTAGTGAGAGCTTTGTCATATTCTGAGAGATGCCATTGCATGCCTTGAAAATTGCGTGCGGTCTTGTTGAGCATTCTTTTGCCCCAAACATTGCTCTTAATTCACTTTTAATACTCTGACTTCAGGCATAAGCCTGGAAGTAAAAGAAGTCACAAGAGCTATGCTAATGTATATATGTTAAAAATGCGATTCATGTTCCACAAATATTTCACCTTTTATAAAATAACAGGCAGCTGCTTTGGGAAGGATGAAGAATGTTGTCTATTGTTCTGCTCACTCTTGTGCTGTATCCCAGTTTTGTTGTAAGAGGAAAAGAAATGTCTGTTTACATCCTTTGTTCCAGGATTCCAGGAACCAACCAGGCTTTTACCAGCTTTGCTTGGGCTCTATTCAACATGGTGCATTTTGCTGCTGCAGTGTGAATCAGTAGTTAGTGTTTATTATTGACCATAATGTAAGTATAATAGCAAGATTAGTGAAGACAAACTTCTGTGAGGACTAGACCAGATCTTGAGATGTGTGAGGGGACCCTAATGTTTCATACAGTGCTGTGCTGTCTGCTTTGCAGACAAGGAGGACGCTTCATATCCTTTACTCTTCTTAAGACACCACAGAGCAAGTTTTAACCCTTCATATACTCAGTATTTAAATAAACTTCTTATTCTGCCAAAGAATTTTTAGCTGGTTTAGAAACTGAAATGGCCATTTTAGGACCTTCTACTTTGTTGGATTTTTCTGAGCTGTTTGTCTTGTTTTTATTCTGCAGCTATAAGACTGGGAGATGAATGATGCTGATAGGCTTAAAATGCATTGACTACATTTCTATGGAATACAAGCTTTTGTTTTATGGAATAGAAGCTTCCAGATACCTCATGAAATCTTTTCTTATTCTTCCATATTTTAGATCAAATGGCTTTCCTGCTGTAATGGTACTTGGATTTGTCCCTAGACTTGTAAATCATATTTGTTTCTCCCTCTTCCTCTTATTTTGTGTGGGGTTGTTTATGTTTGAGGTTTTTTGTTTCATTTTCTTTTTCTGTTAGCAGAACAATGTAAAACTTAATAACTTGGCTGAGAATGTTCCGTTAGTTGTCATTATGATTTTCTGTTATTTGCTATAGTTTGGGATTTTCTTTTCTTCTTAAGAGAAACCAAGGAGGTATGCCCACTTTAAGTCCTGGCTTACCATAACATGTGTTAAAGTCTGGTATAAAAAGAAAGTATCTATTTCTCAGACCATAGTCATGTGCATAATTCATCTCAAGATAGAACAGTACTTCATGGATATGATACTGATTGTTGCACAGAGTCCTACCTTGCTCCAAAGATGAACCAAGACAGACCTTTCTGCTTCTATATTACTAGCTATTAACAACTTGTTCCCCTGTGAGTTTTTTGACCGCTGCTGTATATCATATGGATCTAAATTGAAATGTCTTTACTCTGAAAGAAAGCAGACAGCATTAATACAAAATATCTCAGCGAATTAAACTGGACAAAGCCTGTAAATAAGTATAGCTTATTCATTTATGTTAAAATTATTTCCCTAGAACTGCTTTCAGCTTCAATTGTTCATGAAAAATTCTATTCAGACTATAGGGAAAGTATAAATAAATACTTAACTGCTGGGTGTTTCCATTGTAACCCAGTTAAAACAACATCAGTATTAGTGAATAATGTTTGTTTGGCAGCCATTGTAATGTCGTTCCCTCCCTTTTAGACGCTTGAAGAAGCCATGCGCAACAGAGTGAGATTTTGCAAGACATACAAAACCCCTTCAGGATTTGATTTCGAACAAGCAGATGTGTGATTTTTTTTTTTTTTTTTTTTCTGTCAAATGATACCTGAGCATCAGTAGTTTCTATGTCTACAGTCTCTGTTGATGAAATATTTGCTGATGATCCTGTTGGAGATACAAATACTTGTCTGGATCAAAAATTGTGTTGTGTGGAAGCAGCGTAATATAAATTACACTCCATGGTTTCTGCCCTCTTAAAGAGCCTGATCTCATCTTACATATATAAGACTTGCAAAGGAATGTTTACAAAGAAATCGGGAAATAGTACAAAAAGGAAAGAGAGTTGTCAGAGCAAAAAGGAACAAGACTTTACTCAGATCGGACAAACAAAGAATCCAAAATTTTCAAATACTTTAAAAAGCACTGTTAAAAAGATTGCCAAGTGTCCATCTGCTCGCAATTTATCCACTGAAGAAGAGGAAAGTAATAGAGAATTTTCACTTTCTCCAACATTCAGTTATAGAGTTGCTATTGCCAATGGACTGCAAAAGCATATTTTTGTAACAAACAATAATAATGAAGATATAGTTCAAGATCTGTCTTCAAATGATAGTTCATATTCTGAGTCACTAAGTGAAGTAAAAAGTAATAGCAAGAAAAACGAATACGTATCACACACAATGCCTGTGAGACGCAACAGAAAAAGCTTGAGCAGCCTTGCAGCATCTGATGGAAGTTCTGATGGAGAACGCACTTTACACACACTGAAGCTGGGAGCTTTACGAAAACTAAGGAAGTGGAAGAAGAGCCAAGAATATGTCTCATCAGACTCAGAACTAAGTACATGGAAGAAAACATGGGGCTTAAGAAGTAAATCTCTAGACAGAACTGGGCGCCACCAGAAATCGAATACATTTGAACCTGGCTTCAGTTCAACAGGTAGTATTAGTCAAACCCATGATGTTATGGAAATGATCTTTAAAGAGCTTCAGGGAATAAGTCAAATTGAAACAGAACTCTCTGAATTAAGAGGGCATGTTAATGCTCTGAAACAATCAATTGATGAAATTTCTAGTAGTGTAGAAGTTGTACAAAATGAAATTGAACAATTGCGAACTGGATTTGTGCAGTCCAGAAGAGAAACTCGGGACATACATGACTATATTAAGCAGATAGGCCATCCAGGAAACAAAGCAAGTCTTAGATTTCTAAATGTGCCTGAAGAGAGACTTGAAAAAACTGAAAGCGTAGTTTACAAAATATTAATAGATAAAATGGGGTTCTCGGAGGCACAAAGCACTATTAAAATTGAGTTTGCCCAAAGACTGGGGCAGCAAAGAGACTGTCCAAATGCAAAGCCAAGACCCATTCTTGTTTACTTTGAGTCATCTCAACAGAGAGACTTGATTTTAAAAAAGTCTTATAAACTTAAGGGAACTGGTATTGGAATTTCTACAGATATATTTTCCCATGACATAAAAGACAAAAAAGAAAGAGGACTACCTTCATCTCAGACATATGAAAGTATGGATATGAAGCTTTTGACTCTGGAGACAAAACCTAAAATGCATGACTGGGAGTCACCTGACAGTGATAAAGACTTGGAATCAGATATAAATAAGAACAGTTATGCAAAGGTATCTAAATCAGCATTTCAAATAAAAACAAGCACTACAAAGGGGAGTATTGAGTCCCCAGATACTAAAGACCTTAATAGTACTGCTGAGAGTAGCACCTTTTCAGACAGAAGAAATTATGACAATCAGTCACCAGAATTTGAAAACATGGAAAAACAATTGAAGACCTATTATTCAGACATGACTCCTCTATGGCATTTACAGAATGACTTTGCAACACCAAAACTTAGCCGTTCAGAGTCAGATTTCTCAAAATTGTGTCAGTCTTACTCTGAGGATTTTTCAGAAAATCAGTATTTTAGCAGAACAAATGGCAGTTCACTACTGTCTTCCTCTGATCGAGAGCTTTGGCAGCGAAGGCAAGATGATTCTACAAACTGGTATGGCAGTTCCCAGGAACAGACTTTTGTCCAAGATATGCAACAGTATCCAGAGCAAAATGAAGTAGAGAACACAGAAACTGTTGACAGTGGAGTAAGCAATGGAATATTATGTGCATCGGGAGACAGAAGCCACTATAGTGATTCTCAGCTTTCTTTACATGATGATCTTTCCCCATGGAAAGACTGGAATCAGTTGGGACAAGGGGCGGATTTGGGCCTAGACTCATCCACACAGGAAGCTTTTGTCTATGATATAAGCAGCTCTTCAGATCAGCACACAGATTTTGGTAAGTGCCAAAGTTCTGACCTCCAGTATGATACTGAAAGCTACGATTTTACCCTTGATGGTACTTCTCCATCATGTCCAGGCCTTGATAGTGAATCACAAAGTCAGTGGACTGGTCAATATGATGATTATCAGGAAACAAATTCTATCTCCCCTTACCAGAATCAAAACAGATTGCCTATGATGTACCGAAGTCAGAGTGAACTACCAAGCGACGACTCGGAAGAAACAGCCCCTAAATCGTGGCATAGCCGATTAAGCATAGACCTTTCTGATAAGACTTTCAGCTTTCCTAAATTTGGATCTACGCTTCAACGAGCTAAGTCAGCTTTAGAAGTAGTCTGGAATAAAAGTACACAAAGTTTAAGTGGGTATGAAGACAGTGGATCATCTTTCATGGGAAGGTTTAGAACTTTATCTCAGTCTACTGCAAATGAATCAAGTACGACACTCGATTCTGATGTTTATGCTGAGCCTTATTGCTACAAAGCAGAGTATGAGGAAGACTTAATTGAACCACCTGGTGAGAATGAAACAGACTACGTAGAAGTAATGGAACAAGTCCTTGCTAAACTAGAAAACAGAACTAATAATGAAACTAGTGAGCATGTCCAAGAATATGAACTGGGGCAGCCTTCATATGAAACTCCATATGAAGTGCTACCAGAGGAGCAGTATGACACACAGTTTGACAGTGTGGTCAGTGAAAACATGTTGGAAGTTGAAAGTGACATGGCTACTGACATAGAAGTAAGGGAAGATGAAAATCAGAATGTCCCAGAGATGTGTACTGAAACTCCAAAGAAAAAAAGAATACGACCATCATTTAAAGAAGCTGCTTTAAAAGCATACAAGAAACAAATGAATGATTTGGAAGAAAAGATCTTTGCTGGAGGTAATAGTATTTTAATATTGTCTTTTAAGTAAAATGTTGTTCTTATTAGAGTTGGATGTGAATTTCTGTATGGTACCTGATCCTGCTTCCATTGAATTTGCTGACAAAAATTCTGCTTAAGTCTGGTTTGGTTCATAGGGTGAAATAGTCCCATGGAAGTCAAAAGGCTAAAATTTTACAAGTTTGGTTTGAAGGAATTTTCTGAATATGTGTAGTCAAACACTTATAAGCAATTGTATTTCTTTGAATTTCAGTAACTTGAAAGTTAAATTTCACAAGATTTAAATCCTATAAAAAGAACTAAACAGTACACTGTTCTTGGTTTTCTTATAGCTTTATAAATGTATTCACAGGAGTAATCTAGAGTGTTCTGGTATTATGGTGCTTCATTTAACAGTTTTCAAGGCATGGCTGGGTCTATATTCATCCTGATGAGCAGTGTTCTGCATCCTGTATGCAACCTATAACTTGTTATGTACCTGTGAGAGTGCAAGTCTAAACTGATTTTTTTAATCTGTCCTTAATTTTACTCCCAGTAAGCCCTCAAACAAGTAGTCATTCCCCCCTAAAAAGACGAGAAGGGTGTGGAGAAAGAGAGAAGTGTAAATGGTAGCTTCCATGTATGAAGACGTTGTAGAAAGGAACTTCACTCACAGAGGGTGTTGACGCAGATTTATTCATGATGTTTATCTTCTGTGTTAACAGACTTCAAAGCAGACAGTCACATACATAACTTTAATATCTCTAGTAATACACAAATATGGTGATTTTCAATATTAACATACTCTGTAATGCTAACATTATAACATTGCATGTGCATTTAATTGGGAGCACGTAATTACTGTAGCTAGCCAGATGGTAATTGTCACCTTGACTGAATCTTTGCTTTCTTTATCTGCCTTGAAAAAATAATAATCTGATACGTTAATTTTAAGGATGAAGAATTGTGCATTTAGCCAAAGATTGTATTTAGTAGTAATGAGCATCCAAAGCTTGAGCTACTGTAAAGTTTCTTTTGTATATAGACAACTACTTTTACAATTAACATAGAGTCAAGTTGAAAGTATGTTGCACAAGCAATTAAATATTGCTAATATGAAAGTTTATTTAAAAGTCTATTTTTACATTCAAATAATGACTGTAGATTGTAGATTTATATTTGGCAGATATTTTTCTACAGTACTGTGTTAGATATTAGATGGTGTATGTGTGAAGAAACAGCTAGCAACAGCTAGTATTTTCATGACTTTTTTATGATTTTGAGACATGGGAGGTGGGGACCACAGTCATATTACCTGGTCATAGTTGTACAATAGGATCTAAATAGAGAAAGCACCCAGGGAAGATCCATAATAGTGAAACCTAAATTGGTTCTGCTATTTAAAGTCTGTACATTTGTATATCTTATTAGATAATGTAGACTGTTAGAAAATGAGAACTATGAAGTTACGTCTCATGTGATCAGTTCTATGAATTAAATGTATTAGTTCTTCCTTTAATGCAGCAGGTGAAAGACCTCTTTCAATCTTAGTCTATTGACATTTTTTCTTCTGAATTACTGAAGCATTTCTTATAACTATGTTTACAGAAGAGCCAACTTACCCCAAGGCCAGTTTAGGAAAAATGTGGGTTTGGGTGTAGTCTATGGGGCATAAAGTGTCTGCACGATTATAAGATGTCATACTAAGACCTCCATTTTTGTTTCTACTGAAACAAAGGAGAAGGGAATAGGTCAAGGGGTTAAAGGGAATTTGCAGATTAACTGCTACAACAACACTATTTCTCAGATTATTCTGAAAACAGTATGAGTTGACTTTTGAGTCACAGTTCTGTTTTTTCTTCGCACTTTTGTTTTCCACACCAGCAAGGAGGATGTGTTTCGGGGATTCTACCTCAGCAGTCACTAACTGACTTGTTACAAATATATCTTCAGGTCCTATAGCATACCTGGCAATACTTATTAACCGAACAGTCTTTCATGTCTTATATCTAATGGATGTATATAATATTTTACCTTTTAATGTCTGCAGAACACCTAAAAATTCTTCAGAATTTAAAACTTTCAAAATGTATTTCCTAGTTGGAGTAGTCTACAAAAAGAATACATTACCTGAAAAACTTCTGCTGAGTGACATGCAGTATTATTGCAAATCTTTCTTGATTTTACTTTCAATGAGGTGGATGACTGATATTATAGACAGTCTATTCACAGATAATGGAATCCACAGATGGATTCTCTGTCCTTGCAGATATTTAAAAGCCATCTGGACGTAGTCCTAGCAATCTGCTGTAAGTGACCCTGCTTGAGCAGGTGGCCTCCAGAGGTCCCTTCCAGCCTCAACTGTTCTGCAATAAGGAAATATGTTTTGAACACTTTGTATGCAGCCTTTGAAGAAGGATGCATTCTTAATGTCAGTTTGTCCTCTAAGACAAAATATGTTTAACCTCTGTTTATTACTTGAACTGCCTGGCAATTTTGATTTACTGTAGGAAACAACATTTTGTAAATTAGTTCTTAAAGGAGTTCAACAAAACACACAAAATGTACAGTTTGTAGCCTCTCAGTTTTTACAACCTGCCCTCTTCTTTACATGTCCAAAGAATACTTAATTTATTATTTAAGCAAATAGTAGTTTGGGGTATTATATCTTCTTTTTAATATGTGCAGGAGCAGTAATAAGTTTAAAGAAAAGTGACTAATAGCTGATCTAGGGTTTACGTTCCTTTTATGAATATATTTTTTTAACTCTTACCCCTATAATCTTACCTTCATCTCTCCATGTAGGCAGGAGCAGGTAGACAGCAATCTGGCCAACTAGAGATATAGCCAGATAATACAGTAGTGTTATTTCTCCAATTTAGTATAAAAGAAAGGTTTAGAATGCTATTATTTTCATTCTAGTAACATATGAGGTCATTGAAACTTTGGTACATAAATAATTTATTACTGCACAAGAGCCCTGTCAGATAGTCTTATTCTCTATCTCTTGCTGGAGAGAAAAAAAATACACTATGGGCCAATTGCTTATGTATTATTTATTACAACGTGGTTTTGGAGACATACCAGAGTGAAAGTAATTGGGTATATGGATGAGAGGAGACGCGAGCGGTACATGAGTAATCCTCAGATTTAAAGTTCTGTAAGGCATTGTGATGATGTGTGTGTATTAATGAAAGGATTGATGGCTTTTTAGAAAAATATTTAGAAATGCTAGCCAGTGGTTTGTTTCTTTGTACACTGTAATTGAGAATAACTCTATCCTTTTATTTATTTTTCCAGTCCTCACTTGTTATTTTCTAGCTTGCTTTTTCACTAGTGTCTTCTTTCATTCCATCCCTATCTTGCTATCTTTACAGGTGCCTTAGAATAAGCACCATTTTCTTTCCTGATGAGCTTATCACTCTGGATAAACTTCCAGAGTTGCATGCACTCTTCTGAGTTGCTTTTAATGATAACATAGACTCTTTCGGGAGATGTGGGGGGATGATGGGACATAGAATCACAGAATGGTTTGGGTTGAAAGGGACCTCAAAGATCATCTAGTTCCAACCCCCCTGCTGCGGGCAGGGACACCCTCCACTAGACCACATTGCCCAAAGCCTCATCCAACCTGGTCTTAAACACTTCCAGGGATGGGGCAGTGACTAAATACATTTTCAGATTATGTGGGTAGGAATTGATACATACAATATTTTCCTGCACTCAACCCAATTGGGTAAAATGCTAGAAAATCCTTTTTCCTATATATATGTGCACTCTAGAAATCTTCCAGTAATATTACAGGAAATATAATTTTTTAGAACACTATTTTTTACAATTCAACTAAGTCAAAATGTTGCAGATGAACCAATATATAACAATTTGTCTGAGTCTCTCTTGCATATGTGTGTGTTTCATGCACACAAGAGTCTATGTATTTTTTTCTTGCCACTGGTTTCACTCTAGAGTCAGCCGTAAGTCTTTTATACCCTTCCATTCCCACTTCTGTCCTTTGGGAAAAAGGGATATCAGAGATTTAAGACAGTAAATGGCAGTCTGTTCATCTTGGGATTAATAGAATTGTAGAAAGGTTGCTTTAGAAAAATTATGAGAGGAAAACTAATCAGTTAATGATAAAGATGATACATCCATCTTTTGTCTGGGAGTAGTTACATTTACCACCTACTTTAAAGTTAGGACATCATGGAAGGATGATCTGCATCAGTTGCTTGCTGCTACTATGTGTTTAGTCCATCAAAAGAGGGATTAGAGTAAGGAAAATTATACTGAGAGTAGTGATCATCATCTTAAAGATGTTTACCATTCAAATAAAAGCAAACCTCTATTAACAAGAAGTTATGTCTTTTGCAAGATCTGTTAAAAAATAATCCAAGTTTTAGAAACCTTAAGTGAAAGAATTCTTTAAACAACAGTTTAATATGTCTTTCAGAAAAGATAATAGTGTTCTTATGGCTGGTTGTATTTTAATTCTCTATTTACAGGCTTCGTGTTTATCAGAAAATCTTAGATTGTGATACTGCATGTCTTTGAAAAAAAGATAATAACTAAACGAATTGAAGATCAGTTTAATTTAGCATGGTAACTTTTAATGAATTGGTGTGCATTACATCAGGAAATGTGTGTCACAAATACACTTGTGTAACAGTCTAGGGATCTAAACAAAATTCTATTGTTATCAGATGCCCTTTTGCTGGAATAGCTATTCATTAATCCTTTAAAAACAAACCAAAACAAAAAACCCCCACATCCTTAATCAGTAAGGTTTAGCAGAAATCATCCATATTTTGGCTGTTTATTAAAAACAAACAAAAAAGTAAACAAAACAAACCACCCCAAACCACTTCTTTGTAGAGAATGACTTCCTTTTTTAGGAAAAGTAATTCTTTAAAACTGCTGGTTTCCTTCATAAAAGAAGAAAGTGTCTACTACTCCTTACAAGAACAGGAGACTATTTAACACCATTTCATTAACTTGAGAATTAATGTAGAGAGTTAATTAA